GTGTGTGTGTGTGTGTGTGTGTGTGTGTGTGTGTCAGCTGTTGGGCTATGACTGAAAAGACCTCCAGACACTCTTTAAAACCGAAGCAGCCTCCCCTGTGCTGCCTGACTCAGACTCAGTTCCCATGAAATTGGCTGTTCTTTGGCTTTTCTGGAGTCTGCCAAGTGCCAGTGGGGTCCAGTTCAGATACAAAAAGAAAGCAAGGAAAGACTGTCAGAACCAAGAACTGCTGCAATGTCTGAAGAAACAATTAAACTTTTGTATTGCAAATATAAATATTTTAATAGAAAATGATAACAACTTGGGCTATATTATTTTTTATTAAATTATTGTAATTTGCTGTTAATGATGATGTAATAAAAATAGTTTATGACACATGTTGTTTATAACAGTTGATTTGAAGCAGGCTGTCAGTATAAAGTGGGTCTTTTATGATCTGCGGGTGTTGCTGATTGATTGACTTGGACCGTGAACACCTCTCCTCCAAATGACCCAGCTCGTGAAGTCATTACGCTTTCCACTCTCTCAACAGGAGGTGGGGCTTTTCACTGAAAACTTCTCCTTCTCCCCAGCTGCACAAAGAGCAGCGCTGCAGTCTTGAGTCCCCTCTGAAGTTGTGCGCAGATCGCTCCGCTTTGGGAACTAACCATCGACTTTTTACGCGCAGGTTTTTCTGGGTGACTTTTTCCAGTGGACGATTTTCCAGCTGGTACTATATTCCGAACAAACACCCCCCCTCCTCCTCCCCTCCCATCAGGACCTGTGGAGACTGCAGCTGCGGGAGTGGTCTGGAAACTTTTTTTTTTTTTTTTTTTTGCCATCATGAGCAGGGAAACGGTCAACCTTGACACCTACAGCCTGTCGCTGCTCACGGCTAAAGAGGACATCCTCAACCCTCGATCCTCCACGAACTGGTAACTTTTTTAGGTCCTTCTGAACAAACTTCCTCTCGATTTTTATTATTATAATTTTTGTGTGTGTCAAAACTCAGCTTTGTAACGGTACACTCCAGTGTGACACGATCTATAACTTTTCTCACAACTTTTTGCGTTTATTCTTTTTCTTTCTCCCCTTGAAAGTCGTACAGTTTGTGCAGAGTTGCGCAATTATTGGTGGTTTGTTTTGCATTAATCCAGTCGCGGATGTAGAGGTGGCCCACAGAGGCACCTCACACAACCTCACAAGTCCCACAGTGACGCACGTGTATGCAGACAGATTCAGAGATCATGTTATGCACTGATGGCCAGGTGTCTCAGGTGTGCTGGTCACCTGGCCTGCAGCCTGCTGGCCAGACTCTCTCACATTACGGAAGCCCTCGTGGGATCATGTTTCTACTGATGTGTTGATCTCTGGCAGGGCTTGTCTTTCAGACATTTTAGAGAGCACCCCACACACATAAAACCACTAATATTGAATAGGGTTGGGCAATATTGGCAAAAAAAAAAAAAGATTAATTGTGGTATTTAGCCGATAACAAATAATTTGACGATTATTCCCCTGGAGTCCCTGGACACCCTTATTTCGTAGTCACATGACCAATTTAGTGGGAACGATTTGATCTTTGTAAAAAATTGTTCCAAATTGTGTGAAAATGACAGATTTCAGGCTATACATCTATTTTTAAACTGTGTTGATAGATAAATAAATTACAGAACTTTATTTTTAATGTTCATCATATTTGAAGCAGAGAGGAGCACCGAGCAAACTGACCGGAGTAATCCCCAGTTAGTCTGCCTGGTGGCATTAATCATATTAATCATCAAGTGCCAAAAAGTAATCGATTAATGCTTTTCTGACAATTAATTGCACACGATACGATTATGCCCAACCCTAATATTGAATAAAGCTTATTACGGAGACAACTATTAAACAGTGTCATTGTTGGGTGCTAAAATAGAATCTAAGCAATTTTTTATAACTAAAAAGAAGTTTGAAAGTAGGCTGAATTGACTTATTTTGAGTTTTCTGGCATGCAACTTGATCACTTGATACCTTGCTCACGCTGTCCCTTTGTCACAGACTTTAGCTCGTCTGTCACCATGGTGCTTCATCCATCTACCYAAACAATACCTAGTCCACCTTTCTAATCTAGCATCTTCTTCCCTTTGGGCAGTGGCGGTTTCTGATAGGGTCGACCTGGGCGGTCGCCCAGGGCGGCAAGTTGTCAGGGGCGGCATCGCGCGCCCCCACCCAAGAGCACTGGCACCGCAGCTCCTCCGGGTGCTGTATGATGCTGGTGAAGCCGACTAGTCCATTTAGGGGGAATGGGCGCCTTCTGTCTGCAGTAGTTGGCATTGCAGGTTAGTTAGCAAAACCCACCTGTTCTGCAGCAATTTTATTAGTTCGTCTTATTTTAAAATGTGTATAATCTCACCTGGTGCTGTTTACATGAGTGTCAGTTGAGATTTAAACTGGGGCTGGTGGTTTTCAAGAATATGGATGTGTCGAGTGTGTCTGTGTGGTGGGTGGGGCGGGGATTACCTGCTTTGGTTCGGTGTGAATTAATTGACAGAGTGGAAGATGGAGAGGAAGCGGCCAAAGCCATCGGGTTTCCAGTTTAGGAAAAAAAGAAAAGAAGAAGAGGAGAAACGAGCAAAAGATAAAGGTAAACACCAGCTGTGTCATTATGTAGGCTGTAGCGTGCTGTAAGAAATGACTGTTTATTAAGTAGCATAAGATGCTATCGCTAACTGACCATTAGCAATAGCATAACGACAGTTTAGTTACAGAGACGTGACAGAGATGTGGTAATGATACAGGCAGCCAACAGTGAGGAGAAAACCATATGGTGGCACACACTGACAACATGACACAAAATGCACAAATGAGGCATCTTTGTATATAATGTCCATGAGTGGACCATGTTAAACAGCCATAAACTGGAGAGCTGTTGCTTATCTCATATTGTGAATTTCATAAATTTGAAATAAATGTAGGTAGGCTCATCTGTTTTTGTCTTATTATCTGTCATTTGCAACGTCTGTCCCTTAATTCATAACTTTAGTTGAAAAAAGCTATGTTAGCCTGCTGTAATTACTCTA